CAAGGTCAAGCAAATCTTTTCAAATCCCTTTAATAGCAAAAAAACCAGGAACAGTCTCTGAGTGTGGCTGGGAGGGGATGGTTCACGGTGCTGCACTGGCTGCACCACGCAATGCTCCACCCCCGGGGGTGACTCTCCTGAGGGCTTGTGACAACAGCAGGGACTAAGCTGGCTTACAGTGGGAAGTCAGGAATTTTGTTAGAAAGTATTTATGCAGACGAGTATGATATGTGTGATTCAGCAGCTGTGTCTCAGTGTGAAGCCTGCATCACCCATCTTCCTGACGGATAAGTCCAGTGTGGAAGCTCCCCCTGCCTGCCCCCCCTTCACCATCATGCTGCCAGCAGCTAGCTCTCTGTTCCCATGTAACAGGCAGTCTCCCTGCACTCTTCATTGCAATGAACAACTTTTGGAGGACTGTGGAAGTAGAAATCCTAGAGTGTAAGTCGGTTTCCCAACTGAACCTTCACTCTGTGTCCTGAAACAGTAATCACTGTGTAACCTTCATGATAAACTAGTTCCTGCCTGAAGAAAGAATCCAGCCCTGTGTATGTAACAGATGTGTACAACTCGTACCCCTTATCTGTCTTTTGCATAGCATCTGTAAGGGAAAATAAACTTTCTGTGCACTCTGCAAACAGTGGTGTCAGCAGCAGAACCTGTTTCTCTCCTGTAGCTATCGTGAATAAATGGCTGCTCTTCTGACCTGACCCAGATTTGTACTCCAGTTATTCCCCGGTGGGATGGAGGAGCCAGCAGCTTGCACTGTGTTTGAACAACGTTTTGTACATCCTAAAATACACCTGAGATATGATGCTCTGTAGATGGGCCATTTTTGTTGGAGATGGGGCTTGTGCACATCATTGTTTTTGAGTACCTGTGAGGCTGTGCTTTGGAAATTTGGCATTTCACTGAATTACCTGAACTGTGAGGAGAGAGATCATTTAATTGTGGGAGTGGCAGCACTGCAGGGAAAGGCTGAGAAGGCCTGGGCTGGATGATGTAGCCTGGAAAGACAACAAAGAGTGGCACTTGACCAGACCCAGTTCTCTGAGGTTACCTTTGGATGCTCATCTTTCTCTGCATCATTATTCCATCTTAGAAAATACTTTCATGGGAGTCAAGATTGTTTCACCACTATTTTTGCCATTTATATGGGCTAGAGAAACACAGCTTGTATGAGAAGACAATTTATTGTTAGTCTACTTGAAAGGTTTACCAATGTGCTCAGAGAGTCCTTATCACTTACAGTGGTGCAAACAATGATAAATGATGTTATTTAGAATATTAGGCAGAAAGGGAATAAAATAAAATAAGAATCTTATACCAGGGTCAAAACTAGCACACAAAGAGCACTTCAGCTGCTGCAGCTTTCCCCAGGCTATGCTCACCCCTCCACTGTCCAGGCACCAGACTCAGAGGAGCTGTCTGTCGCCCAGGAGAAGGGGGAGGGCTGCAGATGTCGTGAACTCAAAAAGTCCTTTGCTCCAGCAGCACAGTGACAATGATGGGGGCACCTGCCTCTCCAGGATGGTGGGATTCTGCCTTCTCTTCTGCTAGAGTCCACCTGGGGCTGCTTCCACCCCATCTTTAAGGCTCCCCTTGCAGTGCTCCTCAGTCCCCAGAGCTGGGTGCATCTGGGCTGACCCTCCAGGCAGAGCTGTGCACACCTTGCAGAACTGCTCCTCGCCTTCCCTGCTGCTTGAGATTGATGTTTCCCAGCCCCAAGGTCGTGTTCTTCTGTTGATGCAGTGACTGCCCGTGAGGGAGTAGTTCATAGTGCCAGGGCTGTGGGTTCCCTGCATGTCCCAGCCAAAGCAAGGTTCACAAACCTCTCTCTCAGGTTTTTCAGCATTAGTACACAGCCTGTAGCCTGTTTCTGACAGTGGCCAGAGTTTCATGGGCTATAGGCATACAGACCCCTTCTGCCAGTCCACAGGAATGATCTGTCACACACGAGTCCAGCAAGGATATTGCAAACCCTCCCATGGCTCAAGGCTCCTCACCAGGACCGAGCAACTGATCTTCTTGGAGGCATTTGCCCTTTCCTACCTGGTCTTGCCTCGTGTGGATCTGAGGGTGGTCTGTAGCTCTTGGCTTTGGTGCACAGCTGCTACTTGGTTTATGGAATATTTTATTTTACAGCCTGGATAATTTGCACAATTAAGCAAACTTTTGCAATTCTCAGGATTACACTTCTAGACTTGACAGCCTAGTTAAAAATTTCAGCAGGTTATATAGTCCCAACAAGGAGGGATTTACGCCAAATATGATGGTCAGCATCTTTTATTGTGGTTGGAGTAAGAGCAACTTGCTCACTCTTGTCACATATTGCAAACCTTGCTTTGGTGGCTTGTTTTGCTGCCTGCAAGACTACAAAAGTTACAGGTGGATGCTATTATCTGTAACAACTGCTCAAAACACAACCCAAATGTTACTAGGCTTTGTCCAGCACACGGCTAAAAAGTTCATAGTAATTTTAGCGTCACTTCTAAAAGCATTGTGTAATTAAAATCATGCATTTAAATCAAAGTAAAGCATTGTGTAATTAAAATCATGCATTTAAATCAAAGTTACATTACATGCATGTGCAATATCAGACAACTTAAACATGCAGAGGTGATTTCTGGATGCTGGATATACACACAAAGAGAGCTGGATCCCATATAAGTGATTACAGAGCCACTGGAAATCAAAGGATAAATTTCACATTCACCTCTGGCTAAGCTCTGTTCTAAACTAATTGAAAACTGGTGTCTTTTTGTATGCAATTTACACGTGTAAGTGCCTCCTGTTTGCTGGTGTCCTTCCAGAGAGGCATCTGGGAGCACTCCACCTACTGGGCTGCTCGACATTACTGCTGTACAGCTCTCATCGCAGAAACCCTCCTGCTGCAAGTTTCTAAAATCACCTCATCATCTCCTCCACAGCAAAATAAAATTTTTCATCAGACCAACACATGATTATGTATCACACACGTGTGCAGCGATTTGTTATCCCCATCACCTTAGGACCTTTAGTTTTCTATCCATCCCAGAACCATCGATTAATTTGTACATAGGTGCCCTAAACTAAACTCAAAACTGTGCCATGCAGTTGTCCTAGCAAAGCTACACTAACAGTATACATTTTTAAAGTATAACTTACCCTGCTAGAAAATTCTACACTTAATTTGTTCATCTTTACTTTTCACAGCACTCAAAATACTATGTTTTTAACACAAATGCTATGTGTTTATGTGCTACGTATACAGACATTGTGTCATATGCTCGTGCTCTACTAATCAAGATCACTATAGCTAATAGGAAGTATGTCCATAATTATCAAAGGAAACAGGGTTTATCTTATTTGGAGATGGAGACACCTTCAAATTGGATCCATTTTTTTCCTTGTCACCAGAGTTTGTTAATTCTTTTCTCTTATTTGAACTTCAGCAACAGCAACTGTTCTATAAAAAAGAGATGATATTTTTCCACACACATATGATAATCAAGCACTAATAAAGGAAAGAAAGCACTAAGCAACATACAATTAATAATATCCAGAATTTGGAATTGTTACCTATTCTTCTGCTCTACCTATGGAAGACAAAACAGCAAAGATTGTTATGAATAGTTATCTTAGTTAACCAAGGTGGATCATTTACACCCATAGACCTTTTTGATGATATTAAGGATCTAATAAACTGCCTCTTCACATATTTTTATACAATTTACTAGCTTATGTTCTTAAACAGCTGCTCACCAATTCTCCATTGTAATTGTTTCAGTTGGTTCCATCTCATTTCTGTAACAGAAGAACTGTATATTTTAATTTTAAAACTACTACAATAATGTATATACCATGTATGTCTTTTTTAATTCTTTTTTTTTACTTCATCTTTTCTTCACTCTAAAAAAAAAGGTGGTGTTAACACATCAACTATAATTGCGCATCAGAGGCTTAACTTTTTGCTTTGCAGAGTGAACTCTGTCCCAAGTTAATTAGAATATTTTATCATTAGTTACCCTCCCCTCAAACCTTTATAGGTACATACAAAATCTGCCATTTTTCCAGATTCTAACCTTTTATGCATTGGTAGCACTTAGTTTGCATTACTCTGTTTCAATCCTTTTTTCCTTTTTTTTTTTATAGCACTCCTAAATTTCTTTGCTGCATGTACTTCCACATGCTACGTGAAAACACACTACTGAATTTAACAATACTAATGCTAAACATGAACTGCTTCATTTGTGTTGGCACTTCTTGAATTTGCTCTGCCTGTACCTCTTGATTTCTTTACCTCTGACATTAGGCAGGCATTATTTTTTAAAATGGGGGGAGTTTTTGTTTTTATAAGTCCAAACCCTTCTGGATTGCCTACAGGAGACTCAGAAAGAAGATGTTATTCTTTTCTCCTTGCTTCACCCTCAGAGTTTATACCATGCTTGGGACTCCTGTAACCTTCCTTGCACAGCCCTTCATACTTAGAGTTCATTCTCAGTCCTGCTGCTGGACATCATTGCTCACAAACGCTGCAGCCCAGCTGGTATCACAGCCTGAACTATGTCAGTGTTTTATCAGTCCTTAAAGCCTTCTTTTTTCCCAAAACAGCTTCTGCTAACTTGGCCTGAGCAGCATTTGGTATCTCTGCCTGGACTCTGTGCAGCGAAGCAGGTGCCAGGATGGCTGTGACAGAGCTAAAGCAGTCTCTGCTCACTGCAGCCCTGACTGCTCTTGCTGGAAAAGTCAACTTCTCCCTCTGTGTTTCTTCTGTAAAAATAAGCAAACCAAAAACCCCTTAATGCTTCACTCCCCCTGCGTTTCCTCCATCAGAGGAGCCTTCTCAGTTTGCAGCAGCTGCAGCTTGCAGCTGGTGCCCCAGCTTTGTGTGTGATGGGGATGATACCTCGAGGGCTCTGCTTCTGATCCCCCATTGCTCCCCACATGGGAGCCTTCCCCAGTGGTCCGGTGTTGGTCTGACCACGAGCCCGGGGAAGAGGGGGACTGTCTGTCCTAGGCTATGATGGAGAGGGCAGGGGTCCTGGCTCGCTTCCCTCTCTCCTCCCGCTGATCTCCAGCAGGCGATCCAACAAAACTCTGGTGGGAGCGTTATCCCAGCGGGCCATGTCCTCCCCGTGGTTCCGAAGCTGCCTCCATATGTCCACTCGCATGGTGCTTAACTCCCTCCTGGCCATGGTATTTTGTACCACAAATCGGGGAGCTGCACCACACTGCCACTGTCTCCTGCCCTGCCACCTTCCTTTCCTCCCTTTTCCCGAGAAGGGGATCTGGGAGGTCGCACCAGCAGAAGCAGTGGTCTGCAGCACCTCTGGGTCCCCCATCTCCCTGGAGTTTTCCTTTCCTCTGCTGCCCCTTCCCCTAGACACCGCTCTGTCCTCCCTTGCCCAGACACTCCTTGCCAACTGCTGTCTCCTTCCCTGGGTGCTCCCAGGTTTGAACCGGCGAGGAGCCAGGTCAGCAGTGGTTGTTCCCTCTGTAATAACTTGTTCTGCCCGTGGCTGCACATTTCCCTCGCTTTCCCTTTCCCTTTTCACAGCCACCGGAGCACTGCTCAGCAAAAGGGGGTTTGCTTTAAACCTTTCTGGCATCTCAAAAACTAGAGACTGTGGGCTCTCAGGCTTACGCTCCTCTACAGAGGGGCTGCCATCTGGATTAACCCATCTTTTTCCATCCCAGAGCTCATCATCTTTTTGGTAGGGTGTTTTTTTAAGGGCCATGGCTGTGACATGCTTCGCCTCTAACGCTGCTTTTAACTTTTCCATCTTGACCTCGCAGGCCCGGTGGTCTGTACTCTTCTCTTTTAGGATCTGTATTTTTTGCACCAGCAATCGGATCGTTCCTTGCACCTCCTCTACAGCTTTTGTACTGATGGCTAGCTTTTCCTTCAATGCCTGATTTTCATTCAAAATGGCCTTTTTTTGTTCACACACCTCTTGATACTGGAGAACACTTCGCACTTGCTCCACAGCCACAGCTTCTTCTCGAGTTATACCCTCCTCTAGTTTAAGTCTCTGAGCCTTTATTTCTGCTTTCAGTGTCTTGTTTTCCTCCCTTAGCTTCTGAATTTCTACCTGGGCTGCCTGTTTTTCTTCAGCTAAACTTTTGGCAACTAACCACACAGCCCACGCTCCTGCACATTTTAAGGATTTTCGGGAGAAGAGCTTAGTCTTGGCCATCTCTTTTAATTTGGCAAACTCTAGGTTAGCCTGCTGGATACTTTTGCAAGAGTTTGGACCCCAGGGGTTTGGTCCCCACTGAACAACCCAATTTGCCAGCTCTGACATCTTTTTGTCTCCTCTAAAGGTATTTTTGACTTTACAGAAAGGTCTGATTACAAATTACAACTCAAGCAGGCTGAGAGAAGATAGCAGAGGCTCACCCAAATTTGGACTTGCTCCTCTGTTGTTTTTCTAGTGTAATTCTTCCCTCCAGAAGGTTTTCTCAATGAAGAAATCTCCCAAGCAGGGATTTCTAATTTAGCTCTTCTCCCAGGCAAGGCAGAGGGCTTTCATTCCTCTGTCCATGGATGCTTAGAGGCATTCTTTGAGCATTTGTTCTCTCTAGGCAAAAGGAAGAAGGCTTTCAAACCTGCTGGATTTCCCACTTCAGTATTTTCAACAAGTCTTTAAAGGGCTACCTGTGTTGGTCCCAAAACTGGGTGCTATGCTTTCAGCACGACACTTGAGGGTATGTGGACACAGTGTAGTGTTGTTGCTGGTTGTCCCTGACTGCCACAGGATGGCACCCAAAAAAGGCTGTCCCAGAAGTGCTGCTCACAAAAATGCCATAAGGGCTCCCAGGAGGGCTGCTGCCTTCTCCACTAGTTCTGTGCACCACAGCTTGTGCCTTTATGTGGGCCAGAGAAACACGCCTTACATGGGAGAATCTGCTGTTTGACTACTTCAGAGTCTTAACAGCCTGATCAAAGAGTGCTAATCAATCCACTTACAATGCTGGATGATATTATCTAGACTATTAGGGATAAAGGAGATAAAAGGGGAAAATAATCCCGTATCAGTATCAAGCCCACCCCCTCCCTTAGCTGCTATGCTGTTCCCCCGTTTATGCTCACCCCTCCGATGCCCGAGGATGGCCGCAGGCGTTGTGACCTGGTCCTTCACCTCCAGCAGCTGCTGATGGCACCCCTCTGTCTGCTTCTCCAGGGTGGTTGTGGCGGTGGGATTCTGCTTCTTCCTCTGCTAGAGCCCCCCTGGGGGCTCTCTGTACCCCGTCTTTAAGGCTCCCTTCACTGTGCTCCTCGGTCCCCAGAGCCGGTTACATCCACACTGATCCTCCAGGCAGAGCCGTGCACACCTGGCAGAACTGCTCCTCACCCTCCTGGCTGCCCATGAGTGGTGTTTCCCAGCTCCAAGGCCGTGTTTCTCTGTTGATGCAGCAGCTGCCCTTGGGGGAGTAGTTCACAGCGCCGGGGTTGCCGGTATCACCCTGTGCCAGGGGGTTCAAGGCCCCACCACCCTCCCCTGCCTGCGTTTTATCTCCTGTACTGCAAAAATACAGCCAAGCCGTGCTGCTGGAGGTCCTTCAGCACCCCGTGGACTGGGTGAAGCAGAACCTGAGTGCAGATGGGTGAGGTCCCTGAGTTGTTTGGCAATTGCTGTTACAGCTACAAAGCTCTCGCAAAAATGGTACGTCTTGCAAAAAATGAGGCAAGTCCCAACCAAAACAAGGTGGCCAACCTTGTGCACCCCAGGGGTTTGGTTCCCAAACCTCAGCCTTTTGGTTTTTTGGCCAACCTCGTGGCCAGCCTCTGGCAATGGCAAGACCAAAGTTTGTGGGCTCTAGGCATGCATTGCACCATCATCCTTCTGTGTGCCACAAGAGCCCTGTGCTTTGCTACAACAGCCATAGGAATTGAGGAGCGAAGGCCTTGTGCTTTGCCCTGACCAAAAAGACCATCACTGATGCTCCTCAGCATTTTCACCAGGAGCTGAAAGGGGAGCAGTGGGTCTTTGGGGGCTCTATGGGACCATGGGTGATGGTTTGACCTACCCTATGGCCAAAGAAAACCATCAGGCAGAGCTGGCAGCAAGGGTGATAATTCTGCATAGAAAGAATCCCTCAAATAAGTGAAATGAGGAGAAATATTTGGAGTCCTGCAGTTATTAAAACACATAAATCCCTGCTCATAAACCCCACCATCCCCACAGATCAATGCTTTGAAAGACATCTGAAGCTTTGTAAACTAGAAGAGGTAATAGGATTAAAGCTGCAATGTGACAAGACAGCTAATTTTTAATTATTTCTAACTCCTTTCTAATTTCTACTTCATTCTGAATATTTAAAAACCTTTCCAAATGTATTTCACAAGTTTCAATAACAACCTAGTAACTGGATGTGGCATTACAGCAATTTATAATCACCTCCTAAAATGGGGATATAAATTAATCTTTCTACATCTCATTAGTTTAGCTATCAGAGATATTTTACAAGATAATTGGCTTTCTGTGGCTTTAATTTAATTTAATTTATTAATATCTTACATTTATATTTCATAGATGCTGTTTTAATTATTGAACTGATACATCTCAGAAACATAATTCTTTTATACAGCATCAAACTTTTGCTTTTAGGGCTCTAGAGCCTTTTTAAGATGTTTTAATGATAAATAATAAGTCCTTGTTTGTGTTTACCTTTAAAGTGGATATCAATTTACTTTTGCCTTAGGTTCTCACAAAGGAAAATTAGATCTTATTTTGGAACATCCTGTTTTGCAGATGAGGCTGCCTTTATTGTTAAACCAAAGCTTGTTCCAACTCTGTAATGCTATAAAAATACAAACAAGGGGAAGCAGAAGGAGTAGAAAGAACGTGGAATAAGAAGCCAGTTCATACCTGACAGGTATTTATGTAAATTATTTCAGTGGGCAGCAGAGTTAGGGAAACCCAGTCTCCCATGGTGTTGTGTCCTATGGCTGAACTTCCCAGTGTTGGTGGCAATGCTGCCATGCCTGAAGCTTCTCCTGCAAGCCAGGACCATCCACGCCCACCCCATCAGGGGCTTGCCTTTCCTGCACCCACAGCACGAGCTGGGTCTGGGGTACAACCCCACCATCCCCTTTGCTAATTAATCTGCAACAATGTAATATTTTGGAGACTTCCAGCCTGCCGTAAACTTTGGCCGAAATATCCTCACCAAATCTCTGAGGACAGGTAGACAAGCAGACTGTGCAACTGACCCCAAGAACACCTTTCCTTAGGAAACCAGCCTAAAAATATGTTCCTTCCTAAAGCAGAATAGCAACGTTGAAACATCTGACAGTAAATGTGATGATGATAATTGATGCTTAATGAATAATCCAGGGTAGCTTTAATATTTTAGCTTCACAGAATACCTTTCATCCCCAGGAGCCAAACCAAAGTATAAAAGGTGTACTCTTGCCCCGCAGGGTCTCCTTTTGCCATTAAATCCACTATTTCATGGGGACCAGCTACACAGCTGGGCCACCACAGAGGTGATCAGAGGGTTGGAGCACCTGTTCTACGAGGACAGGCTGAGAGAGCTGGAGTTGTTCAACCTGGGGAAGAGATGACTCCGGGGAGACCTTAGAGCACCTTCCAGTAATTAAAGGGGGATTATATAAAAGAAGGAGAACTAGTTTTCACATGAGCAGATAGTAATAGAACAAGGGGAAACAGTTTTAAATTAAAAGAGGAGAGATTTAGATTAGGTGTTAGGAAGGAGTTCTTTACTCAGAGGGTGGTGAGGCACTGGAACAGGTTGCCCAGATAAGTTATGGATACTCCATCACTGGAAGTGTTCAAGGCCAGGTTGGATGGGGCTTAGAGCAACCTGATCTAGTGGAAGGTGTCCCTGCCCATGGCAGGAGTTTGGAACCAGGAGATCTTTAAGGTTCCTTCCAACACAAACCATTCTATGGTTCTGTGATTTACCTCTGGCCAGTGAGTGTCCAAGGCCCCACAGAGCTCAGCACTTCCAGCTGTGTGGTGGAAGTGAACTTCCACCCATCGCCAAGACCCATCGGGGCACACCCTTCAAGTGTGAGGTGTGCTGCCCACGGAGGGGCTTTGCTCCGACATGGCGCGGGAGCAGCCCTGGGGCGCAGAAGCTGGCTAGGAGAGACCCTCCTCTCCCACCCGAAACCTTGAGACGAGGGGCGGGCAAGGAAACTCTGCAGACCCCCCTCCCGGCACGGGGCTGCTGCGCCCACCCCTCCGTTCCACCCGCGCACCCCTCCGACACACCGACACGAGCCGACGCGGACTGACGGCCCGGGGGGTGCGTCTCCGCTCCACCGTGTGGCCGGAAAGAGGCCGGGAGCAGAGCCGCCGGGAGCCCCGCGCAGCCCCGGGGGCGGTGCGGGTCCAGGCTCCGCCGGCGGCTGCCCGGAGCTCCGCCCGGGATGCGGAAGGGAAAAGCGGCCCAATACCCCCCTTGCTGTCAGCAAAACACCGCGGCACGGGCTCTCCGCACCGCCGCCGGCTCTGCCCCTTCCCTGCGTGGCGAAGGACCAGAACATCCCCAGCAGGTCGCTCACCCCAGCTCTCTGGGCTCCTTTGGCCAGCTAAAACATAAAAAATATCTGTGTCAGAGGAGAGGAACAGCCATCAGCAACGTAAGCTCGTGTCAGGTGATACCTGACACCTCCAGCCTTTGGGTAAAGCCAGGTTTGGGTTTAGATGTATGCAGATTAGAGTCATGAAAGTTCTTATTTTATAACATCCCTTCCCCTCCATCCCCTAAATTAAAAAGTTCCTGTTCTACAAAGTTACTCTGCAACACATTTTCTGCCAAATCCCTTTGCTCTGCAAATTGTGACCTCTTTGGACATGAGGCTGGTTGTTGGGCTTTGTCTGCTCAGAGTGGAGGGCAGGAGGCCATAAAACAAGGCGGATGGGTTCCTGTTACATTGTCATGTTGGTTTTGGCCAATCCTACCTAGTGGCCTTTTTTATGTTAGAAACTTTTTAACATTTTAAAATAACTTCATTAATAAAAGAATGCTGCAAGTCTTTCTTCTTTCCATCCCCACTCCCAATGCCCCAGGCTGACTCTTTCTTGTAAAGCCTGCTGCAATGAGAACTTTTTTGATAATGCAGCCACTCTTGGCAGCACCCCTAAGCCAGAAGGGGTGCCTTCCAACTGCAACATGCAGGGCTTGGGTGGCAGGATAAGCAAGCACCTCAGTGAATCTTCAGGAGCACCACTGAGCTCATGCTGCTGCAGCGCTTCAAGTCCGGCTGGGACATTTTCCCTTCTCCAGGAGGCTCCCGACATGGCTCATCCACAGTTCAAGCCTTTTCCTTGATGGCTTGTTAGTAAAACTGCACAAATAAGAAATTCTTCCTCCTATTAATCAAATCAGAAAGGTCAACTGGGTTCATTTTAGGTCAGTCTGAAGTGAGCGTTTCTGGTAGTTTGGTTTTCTCAGCAAAATGAAAAAACTTCCCTGAAAGAAAACTTAAGC